ATTTTTTCCCATTCTGTCAGTTGCCTCTTCACTTTCCTGACTGTTTCTTTTGCAGTACAGAAACTTCTCAATTTGATGCAATCCCAAATGTTAATTTTGGCTTTGACTGCCTGTGCTTCTGGGGTATTTTCCAAGAAGTCTTTGCCAGTACGTGTATCTTGCAGGGCTTTTCCAATCCTCCCTAAAATTTGATGGTGTCAGGTCGTAGATTTAAGTCTTTTATCCATGTTGAGTGAATTTTTGTGTAAGGTGAAAGGTAGGGGTCTTGCTTCATGATTCTGCATGTGGAAATCCAATTTTCCCAGCACCATTTATTGAATAGACTGTCCTTACTCCAGGGATTGGTTTTGGATCCTTGGTCAAATATGAGTTGGCTGTAGATGTTTGGATTGATTTCTGGCGTTTCTATTCCGTTCCATTGGTCTATCCATCTGTTTCTGTACCAGTACCATGCTGTTTTGATAACAACTGCCCTGTAGTATGTCCTGAAATCTGGTATTGTGATGCCTCCAGCTTTGTTTTTGTTGTACAAGATTGCTTTAGCTATTCGAGGTCTCCTGTGTCTCCATATGAATTTCAGCATCATTTTTTCTAAATCTGAGAAGAAGGTCTTCGGTATCTTGATTGGTATCTCATTGAATCTGTAAATTGCTTTTGGGAGAATGGACATTTTGATGATATTGATTCTTCCAATCCATGAGCATGGAAGATTTTTCCATTTTTTGGTATCCTCTTCTATTTCTTTCTTTATGGTTTTGTAATTTTAATCATATAGATTTTTAACGTCCTTGGTTAAGTTTATTCCAAGGTATTTGATTGTTTTTGTAGCTATTGTGAATGGGATTGATCTTAGAAGTTCTTCCTTAGCTGTGGTATTGCCTGTGTATACAAAGGCTGTTGATTTTTGTGCATTGATTTTATACCCTGCTACTTTGCCAAAATCTTCTATGAGTTCCAATAGTCTCTTAGAGTTCTTTGGGTCCCCTAAATAAAGAATCATATCATCTGCAAAGAGGGATAGTTTGAGTTCTTCCTTCCCAATTTGTATCCCTTTAATTTCTTTTTCTTGCCTAATAGCTCTGGCTAGAATTTCCAGAACTATATTGAATAGCAGTGGTGAGAGTGGGCATCCATGTCTGTTACCAGATCTCAGTGGAAATGCTTCCAACTTTTCCCCATTCAATAGGATGTTGCCTGTGGGTTTTTCATAAATTGCTTTGATTGTATTGAGGAATGTTCCTTCCATACCCAGTTTGCTTAGAGATTTTATCATGAAAGGGTGTTGTTTTTTATCAAATGCTTTCTCAGCGTCTATTGAGATAATCATATGGTTTTTCTTGTGCAGTCTGTTAATGTGGTGTATCACATTGATTGATTTGCGAATGTTGAACCATCCCTGCATACCAGGGATGAATCCCACTTGGTCTGGGTGGATGATCTTTCTGATGTGTTGTTGCATTCTATTGTCGAGAATTTTATTGAGGATTTTTGCATCTATGTTCATCAGGGATATTGGTCTGTAATTCTCTTTCAATGCTGCATCTTTTTCCGGCTTAGGAATTAAGGTGATGTTGGCTTCATAGAAAGAATTTGGGAGGATTCCCTCTTTTTTGATTGTTCGGAATAGTTTGAGAAGAATTGGAGTCAGTTCTTCTCTAAATGTCCAGTAGAATTCAGCAGTGAATCCATCTGGTCCTGGGCTTTTCTTTGTTGGGAGGGCCTTTATTACTGTTTCAATTTCTGTCTCAGTTATGGGTCTGTTTAGGTTTTCGATGTCTTCCTGGTTCAATTTAGGTAGGTTGCATGTGTCCAGGAATCTATCCATTTCTGATCAGTTACCCTGTTTGCTGGCCTACAAGTCCTTGTAGTAATTTCTGATGATTCTTTTTATTTCTGTGGTGTCTGTTGTTACGTCTCCTTTTGCATCTCTGATTTTATTGATTTGAGTCTTTTCTTTTTTTAGTTAGTTGTGCCAATGGGGTGTCAATTTTGTTTATTTTTTTCAAAAAACCAGCTTCTCGCTTGGCTGATTTTTTGTAATGTTTTTCTTGATTCAATCCTGTTGATTTCTTCTCTGATTTTAATTATTTCTCTTCTCCTACTAGTTTTGGGTCTGGTTTGCTGCAGTTTTTCTAGATCCTTGAGATGCATTGAAAGCTCATCTCTTTGGTACCTTTCCAATTTCTTGGTGTAGGCAACTATTGATACAAACTTTCCTCTTAACACTGCTTTTGCTGTATCCCATAAGTTTTGGTATGTTGTGCTGTTATCCTCATTTACTTCCAGAAAATTTTTGATTTCTCTTTTAATTTCTTCTATGGCCCATTGTTCGTTCAGGAGCATGTTGTTCAATCTCCATGTGTTTGCATATGCTCTAGGGATTCCTGAGTTGCTAATTTCCAGATTCATTCCTTTATGGTCTGAGAAGCTGCATTGTATGATTCTAATTCTTTTAAATTTGCTGAGACTTGCTTTATGGCCTAGTATGTGGTCAATCCTAGAGAAGATTCCATGTACTGCTGAGAAGAATGTAAATGCTTTCTGTGTAGGATGAAAAGTTCTGTGGATAACTGTTAGATCCATTTGGGCTATAGTGTCGTTTAAATCTACTGTCTCCTTGTTGATCTTCTGCCCTGTTGATCTGTCTATTTCTGAGAGTGGAGTATTGAAGTCCCCCAGTACTATTGTATTGGAGTCTAAGTCTCCCTTTAAGGCCCTTAACAAATCTTTTAAATAAACCAATGCCCTGCAATTAGGTGCGTATACATTGATAGTTGTTACATCTTCTTGTTGAATTGATCCCTTAATCATTATACAGTACCCTCTTTGTCTCTCCTAACAGTTTTTGTGGTAAAGTTTATGTTGTTTGATATTAAGATGGCTATGCCTGCTCTTTTTTCATTTCTGTTGGCATGATATATCTATTTCCAGTCTTTCACTTTCAGTCTGTACGCATCTTTGTTGGAAAGATGTGTTTCTTGTAAGCAGCAAATAGATGGGTTTTGTTCCTTAAGCCAATCAGCCAATCGGTGTCTTTTAACTGGACACTTCAGGCCATTAACGTTCAGTGTGACTATTGATAAGTAGTAGCTTTGCCCTGCCATTTGCCAGAGATATTTTCTAATATGTTTTGAACTTGCTGTGATCTTTTGCTGTGAGGTTTCCTTCGTTTGCCTTCTTTCGTATTGATGACCGTGTTTCTGTGTTTCTGTGTGTAACACATCTTTAAGCATCTTTTGCAGGGCTGGATGAGTTCTGCCACCTTTTTAAAATCAACACTTTCTGCACTCTAAGTTTCACATTCTGTTCTGAGCGCATTACAAATGCTGCCTCATATAATCCTCAGAGCATCCTTATGAAATATGGTAAAGTTTGTTACATTGCAGTGTTTACATTATTTAACAGGGCTGAGTCGTAAAAGAACTTCCTAACTCACCTGAGGACACAGAGCTAGTAGGCAGTAGCCAGAATTCAAACCCAGACAAGCCTGACGCCCTGCTCTGTTCTCAGGCACTGCCCGTGTTGAAACCATGCATCCTATATTTAATGAGTGAGGACACTTGCTTACCATAGGCTCTGGGATCCATTCAGCTTTCTGACTTTGTGTCTCTGGGAGTTTCTTTCTTGGTTCCTGTGCAGCATGGTGTGTGAGATTCTAAAACTCACCTGGGATACAAGGCTTTCTGTAGTGAGGAGTCAGGTTTTTGGTCACATTACTGCCTCTGTGCCCTTTTTTCTGGCAACCTCGTTTGTTAGAGCAGAGCATCCTGGCCTCAGAGGCTTGCCTAGGCCTTGAGAATAGAGTCATTTGTCAACAGATGTGTCTTGAGCAGAAAACTGCCTCATTGTACATTCTGAGCCCTGGCAGTAGAGGACTGAGTAAAAAGGACACAGTCCTTGCTCTCTGGAGCTTGAGATCTGGACAGAGTCAAAGTAACACAGTGTACACACATGGAGAAGACACCCCAACCATGACAGTGACTCCTGCAGTATGGGAACCAGTAGAAAAACAGGCAGGGAAAGAGCAGGGGAGTGAATGGAGTAGGTAATTTGGGTCCCCATGCTGGAGGCAGAACACCCTAGAGGAAGCAAGAACAAAAGTGCTGGGGCATGAGCAAGTTTGCAACACCTCAGGAGGAAGGTCATAAGCAGTCTAGTAAAATCCTTATAATGGAAATAAATATGGCTGCCAACATCATGTATATTTGTAACAACGGATCTTTGACCCCCCAAGTCTTCACTGGAGACAGGTATTTGGACAATGGAATGAACCTGGCCTTCATAGCCATACATTCTCTGCCACTGGTAGCTTCTCACATGGCTTACCTTTTTTTGGTCCTCACTTTATTCACCTGTTCCTTGAAAGAAATATGCCATTTTAGCAGGATGGCAGAGAATGGATTGAAGGAGAGTGAGGCAAGGGTTTGGCATCAGTGTGGGCGTGTTCTTGGAACAACACAGATAGCCATGAACTGCCTGGTTCTGAACCCTCATCCCCTATTGTTCTCCTTACTGCTCTCAGTCCCAACTGCGGTCCTCCCTCAGGTTGGGAGAGTTCCCCTACAGATAACACATTACAATACTTTGCCATAGTATAGCCATATACTATTACTATAGTATACCAGACTATACCATTTCAAATATTCCTTGGGTTTTAGGAGCTGTATGCCAGGAAATATGACAAAGACCAAAGTATGTGTTTCTTATTATCAATCATAGTGTGTATAATCCAATGGCAAGATGCCTGCAACACAGAAGTGCTTGAGAAATGATTGCTGTGTGTCTTCCATGAGCCATGGAAGGAGTGAGAAATAACAGGTGAAGGAGGCATACCAAGGAAGACTGTGGCACCTGGATTTACCCGACACCAAGCTTCACCCATTCAGCAACACCTGCTGTCAGTCTCCCTCTGGTCCACAAGGACATGCTAAATGATCCTTTAACTTTATTCTATTTTTTTTTGTCCATTGAGCTTTTATTTGTATGTCTGTGCCACATCCCTAGAAAAAGAATCCCAGGATTTTCTCTCCTGTGTGTTTTTGTTGTGCTTTTTCATGGTCCATGATGGCAGCTGAGGTTGTCAGTACAGTGAAACCAAACTGGTGGGATGGAAGCAGATTATTCTGCCATTTTTCTAGATCTTTCAACTGCACGTCAAATCTGGGGCTGATCACTCCACACTTGTTTAACCTGCCAGTGAGGTTTACAACAATCTTCCCAGCTCTATGATGGTCAATGATTTCAAACTCACCAATGTAACCCTGCTTCATCATCACAGTCAGAAAACTGACGATGACGTTAGAGCACGGCCTGATAAAAATCTGGCATTTGCCTATCTTCTCGGCTTTGTTGATGCTCTCAAGAGCATCAGCCAGGGCGTTCATATACTTGTTCTCAATATCTTTATTCTATTCTTAACATGAACAGCCATTTGGTGGGCTCTGACAAACTGAGCTCAGGTTATAAATAGCACTGATCTATCTAGATCAGTTTGACCATGAGTATTTTTGTTTTTCACATTACTGATAAAATCCTAGAACATTACATTTGTGTCTAATGGCTTTTAGCCTCACTTCATTCTGCCAAGAAAGAGGGAGAAGTAGACAGTTCTGTCTGAGCCTGCCAGCAGCTCTCTGTTCTCTGGAGCAAGTGTCAACCCAGCCCAGGCAAACAGCAGGTCCCTTATGATGATGGGCATATGCATCTTAATTTTTATTTGAAGTTCTTGCCCCCCCACAGAGATCGGAATTTAAAGCAGAGACATAATACAGTGCACAAGTGACAGCAGAATTTATTTTAAAAAGAGAGAGAGTATACACCCTGTGTTGAAGAGTTAAAATTGTATATGTGCGGGTGTAAAAAGTTAAGCTTAAGCTTACAGGTTTAAACCTTCCTGGTACAGCTGTAAAAATAAGACAGAGTGAAGTAGCACCTTGACAGTAGGGACTCCATTTTGGAGCACTTGAGACTCCATTCTGAGAAAGCACCCCCCACCGTGAGACTCTGGTCTGAAACTATGATCTCAAATAGTCGGACAATAGCAGTGCACTACATCACCCTTGGCAACACACAAAAACCCCCTAGCATGATTGCTCAAGCTTAAAAGTAGAAAGGTTACACCTGGGTTACCTGGGCTAATAATGAAGATGTGATTTGTCTGTGTCTTACATTAATGTCAAGTCCTAATTGCTGATTGTAATATTGTAACTGGTATTGTCAAGATTATGATAAATATTAATTTCACTTAGGTTTTAGGTTATGTTGACCCCAGTAACCATATACTCTCTTTTGATTTTAGCAACTGTGTATAGCAACCGTGCATAGCAACCATGTATTCCCCCCTTCCCGGTTTTGCGGTTTTTGCCTTTATAAACCCTAACCTTTGGTTATTCGGGGCTGCTCTGTTCATGTATGGTCAGACAGCCCCAGCATGCTGGATAATCAATAAAGCTTCCCCTTGCTGTTTGCATAAGAGATGTCTCTTGGTGACGTTTTTCGGGCAGTCGACTCTAACAGTGTGAGAGTGAGTCAGCCCACATAGATACTTGTCATGAGGGGGCCATAGAACTGCCTATAAGGAGAGAAAGGGGGAAGAGGTCAGAGAAGGACCCATAAGCAAGGTCCAGAAGCCAAAAAAGCTTCCCATGCTTCCCTGCTCCCATACTGTCAGCCCTGTTAGTGAGGTAGGGGGCGGTACCCTAATTGAATATACAAAAGAGGGTGGAGTTTAGTGTGTGTGAAGCTTTCTGGGAGTTTCATGGTACTTCTGCATAAAGCTTAACTCCCACATGGCCATCATGGCATCTCCTCTTTCCTAGTCCTGGAGGAGACACAGGTGCACCATGGGAAAGTGGGTGAATGGGATTGATAGCTAAGGGAGTAGAATAACAATGCAGGGCTGTACAGAGATTATGAGAAAATCTTCCAGCTCAACTATTCCTACTTAATCTTCTTGCCTAGTTCCCCAACATCAAGTTCAATCTATGATCTATTTTCTCCCAACAAGGAGCCATGTGTACTTTATGGCAGTGCAACAATTGCAACTTATTTCCCCGGGGCGAAAGCTTGAGTGGCTTCCTGACTCAGCAACATTGGTATTCTGCCCTTCCCCTGCCTGGTTAGGAGCCCCCACCAACTCCCCTGCAGACTCAGAGCCCGGGAACTCATCAGGATGGACTAGAGGAGAGCTGTGGCTGGTGGACTTCTTTATGGGCAGTGTTCTCAAGCTTCAGGATCATGAAGCGACGACACCACAGCAAAGAGCCATGATCCTCCAAGAAGGTTCTGTGCCCTGATCCCAGGACACAGAATATGCATTTTAAAGAAAATCTGCTTTATTTATCTACAATGCATTACTGAGCAGTTCAGGTCTCCAAAATAAGGCAACTCTAAGTAATAATCGTCTAAATACCTAATTGCTTTCACATAACAGGAAAATGTTAAAGACAGTTTCAATCTAAGAACCTAATGAAAACTAATATCTCACTGGAAGCAGAAGGAGTACTTTTACCAATGGGGAAATTTTTTTATTTCCTTGAGTGATCTCTGACTTCTTTATTTGGTATCTGGTGATTAAATAGAAAAATATCAATTCAAAGGGTTTCCTTTAAAAAAAATTTCCCTCATTCCTTCATTCTTTCTATAAGTAGCACTTTCCTCTGGGAAGGGAATGCATATTGCCGATTAGGTGAGTAGCCCCTCAACCCTTTCTGATGACCGGAGAGAAATTCAGAGATGTCCTAAATTAAGTGACAGGCCAGTGGATGGAAGAAGGGAAGAGGTAAGAGAAATTTATACAAAACTCTCATCATTAGGCTGAACAAAGAAAAGGAACTGCTCCACAGTTTTGAGGACCAGCCTCAAAACACATTGCATTCTGCATGGGGAACAACCAACTGGGAAGCAGCCCACCCTTCTCCCTGTGGATTGTGTGGCCTACCAGGACTCAGCCTGCTTCCTGTTGTTCACCCCCACCCCCATCTGTGGGCAAGATATCCTCAATGGAAGAAATGTACATTTCCTTCCCCTCAAATATTCATTATAAAGCATCTTTGCTTTTTATATTCAGTGGGCATTTTCCAAATGCTATCTTTCCGCTGTGCTGCTGGTGGTTAAGGGAATTTGTCCAAGGACTAGTCCTTTTATTTAGTTTAGCATCTGTAACAGTCCAATAAAACCTTTCTCATGCCAGAGGTTATTTGGTCTCCAAAATTTGGATGTAACACTGATCATCACAAACACCTGTCCACACTCATTAAATTCTGATATAGTGGGGCTGGGGTAGGATCTGATTTATATTTTCACAAAGTAGCCAGGATGGAGAACCTCTGAGGTAGGGAGTCCCTCCTTTCCAGGTTACACAGACAGACAGAATCAATGTGTGAGAGGGAGGAGGCAGGCATCACCTGATACTATAGTGGTAAACTGAGACACTGCAGGTAACAGCCTCAGTGTGGGGCAGGAGGTGAGGATGGTTACGTCACTGCACATGGTGGTGTTGAACTGGGTCTTGAAGGATGGGGAAGAAGCACATGGGCTCCTCTGCAGGGTGGAGGAGCAGGGGGGATGAAAGGTGAGAGAGCAGAGGCAGGCAGGGAACTGTCAGAATCCTAGAGAATAGGTGCAGAAGCAAGCACGGGCTGATGATAAAGAGCTTTGTATGCTGCTCAGCTTTTAATCTGTAGGTTACTGAGCTTTATTGAAGTATCTTTTCAGCAAGAGAGGAAATCAATCACTTCTTCACTCACTGGATTTTGAGCTGGGCAGAGGGTATGGGAATACCAGTTAGGCATTGTGATCAAGCCGGTGATCGGGAGGGCATGGATCACCAAGGGACAAGAGTGGGGAGGATTCCAAGGCCAAATGGAGAAGAGCTACAGGAGACAGAGTTGAGGGAGCCTCATGACAGCTGGACAAGTAAAGGGAGAGAGAAATGTCTGGAATTTTTTTGGTTTCAGGAAGAGTTGGTTATGGGCCAACTGACACGGACATTAACACTCTCTTCTAAAGGAAATGACCCAACCCTGCTTTAATCCTAGCTAAAAGTCATCATCATCCAGGTTCCCTTGTAGGTGGGCCTGGAGTCACAGCTGAGTTCCCAAGGCAAACTCCCCTTGATAAGGCCTTGGCTTGGCTGAAGTTAGGTTAGGAATTCTGCACACAGGCCAAAGAGCATCCTCAACCTCACCTTTCTACAGAAAACCCAACACTCCCTTTGTTCCATTAGTTTGCTGTCCCCATTTGAACTTGGAACACATGTGATGACAGTGGGCATATATGTCCATTTCATTTGCATATATATATATATGTATATATATCACACTTCCTAGAACCACCTTGAAACCTAATGGATTTGTGTAACTTCCTGAAAATGACTGCTAAAACACTTGTAACTCTGCATTACCCGGGGATGCAGGTCTTTGGCCATGGAATCACCTTGCTCCTGGCTTGCGCACTCTGTTAATATTCCTTTCTGCTTAAAGCTCTAACCATTGTCCTCTTAACTCCAGTGGTGTCCCTGCTGGAAAAGAATCATCGGGAATTCTGCCTGATTTCATTATCACCTCAGCATCAAGACCAAGTGCTTATACCCACCCTTTTCCAGATAGGCTGAGAGACTCTAAAATGTGTGTCATGCGCCAATCTTCTAGGTTTTTAGAAAAATTTACTTATTTGAAAGGCAGAGTATGTGTGTGTGTGAGAGAGAGAGAGAGAGGGAGGGAGAGACAGAGACAGAGATAGAGATGGGGGGGGGAGTGAATAGAACTTTCTTTAGGATAGACCATATGCCAAGCCATAAAGCAAGCTCAGCAAATTTGAGAAAAACTGAAATCATATCATGTGTCTTTTCTCACCACAATGTAATGAAGTTTGAAATTAACAACTTAAGAAATTCTAGAAAATATGCAAACACATAGAAACTAAAACAACATGTTTCTGAATCATAGATTTTATTTGTCTTCCCCGCAGTGGCTGCTGCGCACTTGGCAGGAGTTTTTGTTATGTTCCTGGAACACAAGAAATGGAGGCCAAGACCATCTCCCCATGCCTTCGTATCTCTCTGGAGGCTGTCATGAGAGTTTCTTGCTGCCTCCTGGTTCTGATGAGCTAAGGGCTTCTTACCCTGCTCTCCTAAACCTGCAGACTAGAAGAGATTCCCAGCAGCACATGGTGTCTTCCTTTCTAGTCTATAGAACCAGGACTTGGGGAGTGGTCATCTTTGACCTACTTTTCTTTTTACTGTATATGTAAGGAGTTAGTGACAGGGGGTGGCCCACGCCAGGCCTAGCCAGAGTTGGCAGAAGTGGCCAGTTCAGTCAGGGCCTCAGGAGACAGAAGCGGGAGATGAGGGCGTCGGATGAACCTGGGGGTGCCATAGAACTTGGTAACGCTGGTTGATGCCACAACACGGTTATGCCTTGTAGATGGAGCCTG